GTCTGGCAGAATTCCCATATTTATGTTTAAAATATCGATTTTGTTAGTATTTAGATGAAACTAAAACATCCCAGATTCTCCATCATATACAAGAGTATGTCCAAATATCAATCATCAAACATCAACCCTATTTGACCTGAGCATGCTGTTCTGGTAAAGTGTAGCAAACTCTGCATTTGGATGACCTCAACTCTGAACCGTGCTGAATAAAAACATTAATTATATCTAAAAATAAATACCTGGTTAATTTTTCTGCAAATGGGCTGGATTTGTAGCATCTTTTGATTTATTTGCTTGTTTGATTGATTTGTTTTGGTTTTTGCAGCATTGCCCTTTATTCATTAGCAGCTAAACTGGATGTAGGGTCATGAGGAAGAGAAGATATAGTAAGTGGTCTGAGGGGAATCAAAGACTGTAGCCTTAGCAAATGAAATGTCTGCCTTAGAACTGATCCACATGATGTCCAATCTTCTCATTCCCTGTTGTCAGAATAAAACTGATGGTTGTGAACTTTTCTCCGTGAAAGTAAAATAGGAAATGGGGAAAAATAATCACATTCCGACACGTCTATCCTGGTAAAACTCCAAAACAGTTCCCAAGATTATATGTTATAAATAAGACTGATCAAGGAAGGAAGGAAGGAAGGAAGGAAGGAAGGAAGGAAGGAAGGAAACATGAATGGATAGACTGAAAAAAGAGACAGATGGACTCAGAGACATTTGGTTTAAGGTTTAATTTATGGATTGATAAATGGATATGATTTTTTGAGCATTTTTTTTTTAGCATTTGCTTTTTCTGACGTCTGTGGTATTTATTTATTTATCTATTCAGTGGATCATTTGTTTCACTCAGGTTGCTAGTAGCTACAAAATGTATTTCATTTATTTATTTATCTATTCAGTGGATCATTTGTTTCACTCAGGTTGCTAGTAGCTACAAAATGTATTTCTCTGTGAGAAGAAAAAAATGGCACAATAGGGAGTTTTTTTTATGTTAAGTTTGGATGTTTTGTTGACTGCATCAAATACATAACATTTCTTACATACAGTATTTCAATGCATAGGTTCTGCATTGCCACCCTACCTAGATCTTTTTTACCCCACCCCACACTGCATAGCAGTGCTTCTGTTCTCATATTCATCTCTGCATTGCTACAAATGTCTTGTTAACTGCTTTGAGCTCTTATCTTTACTGCTGTTGTTGGTTTACTGTGAAATTGGCATCACAGCCTTACTCTTTTACTTGCCACTAATTGTTAGACATTAGTGTTTGTCTCAGAGCTGTTCCACCAATTAGCCTGTCTTCCTTTCCGGCACACCTTGTAGTCTTGTTTTGTTCCCTAGAAGAGGGTCTTGAAAAGAAGGAAGCTGAATATGTGAAGCAAACTGTCAAGACAAACAGAGCTGTGCCTCATCTGAAAGCTCACTTCGTTGAACGCTCTAAAGGTCACGATCTAGATTTTGATCTTTCATTTCACCGTATTCCCTTGACATTCTCTCCCCTATGCTGTTTGCAGCATCCACACCTGCCCCTCAGCAGAGCTCGTCTTCAGACTGCCCCCCCTCCCAGGGCAGCGAACCCCCAACAGATCACTCACCAGTTGACCTAGAGGGATCCCCAAGCAACGCCAGGGAGGAACAATCAGTAAGTACTCGCTTCATCCCCGGGGACCACATGTCCTTCGATGGGGATTCATGGATGTGACTTAACTGACTCTTATTGCAGTGGGGATGATGTATGATTGCATGGAGCAGAATGTCATGTGATTATCATGAGCGAACTGGACTCCAGTTATTTACATCAAGGAACAAATGTCAAATCAATTAGACATCAAAGGTCAAACACAAATTAAAGGCGCTGATTAGATCATGTAATAAGGGGAAATCTTTTACGATGATTATAGGCCTCATTTTCCTAAAACATGACTTAAGAAGAGCTGATTTCTCTCTCTTCCAGGGTTCTGCTGCTGCAAGGTCGGAGTCTCCGGTGCCAAGCGACGCTGCAGAGCCTGCGGATAAGACCGGTCCACAGGAAGACAGCTAGAGGGAAGCATATGGGGAAGAGGGTAAGCATTTCATCATCCCTTTCTTCCTCTCATTTCCCACAGTTATTAATCAGCTGTCTTCACACTGTGACATTTGTGTCTCTACTCCACTACTCTTTTTATTCTCGACTTCCTTTGCCTCATTCCTTTCCCCATAAACCCCTCTTTCTGTCCTTTATTGGCTTCATATTTCCATCTGTCAGTATTTCTCCCATTTTTACTGTGAATGAATGCTTTGCTGCCAACTGGAGCCTTGATGTAAACCAGTCTGAAGATTTGAAGGCGTAATGTTGCCCCCTTGTGGTGAGATTAATCAATACGCTAATGAGATTTTCTTTTTTCTTTTTTTTCTTTTAGGCTGTACAAGCTCTTAATCCTGGAACTGGAGCTTCTGGGAAAAGCAAGACATACGAGTGACTGTGATTACACAGACTAGCTGTTTTTTTTTAATAAACTTTAAAGGATATTTCTGGCTATGAGAGGAACTGTATAATTTTTTTCTCGTGAGGCCACACACTGTACTCTGTTGCCCTCCTCAGCATGTCCAATCAAATAACTCTTCAACCAGGAAGTGACCTTTGATCTCTAACTCGATCCTTGATCCAGGAGGTGTGTGCATCCTTCTCTTGCAAGCTGAAAGGAGACTCGTTTAAAACGACGTTATTGATGCAAATTACGTTTCTTGGGACGCGTTGAAGAGGAGCAGCAAGTTTTAATCATATTGCTCCACTGTTCTACCAGTTTTAATGAGCAGACTTGGAGTAGATGCAACAAACTCAGCTGTTGGCCTGGGACTAAATCAAAGACTATGATTCTTCGACTTTTATAAGCTGTGAATTCTTAGTTGGTGACAACGGAGTTGTGAAAGACATCAAGGTGACTCTAAGGTGTCAGTGTAGAAATAAAAAAAATTGCCAAACATCTATTTTGTAAATAAGAATCCCCCAGCCCAGCCCTCCTAAGCCCTGAGCTTTTGTGCCATAATAGCGCTCTGCCTCTCAGATGCTAACTACGTCAATGCTCCACCAGCATCTCCAGTTCTACCATCTGGAAATTAGAGATTTTTTTGGAGCCATGTTTGTTTTGTTTTTTATTTTTTATTTTTTAATCATTTTTTTTAAGGTTGGGGGTCAAAATGAACTGTGAATATGTGTTACATGTTCAGTCAGAATCATGTCTGAAATTAAGCTTGACGAAAAGAGCAAAGGGGCGGATCTAGAGATCTTACTTTTTACAGACGTCTAGTGGCAGATTTTCTCTTAGCTTTTAGATATTTCTCATTTCCAGCTAAGGTTGCGTTGTTTACAGCTTGCCTCTTAAGGTCCTGTCTCCGTTTTTTTTTTTTTTGAAGATGCACAGGGGAAAACACTTAGTAATACAATGGGATGAAAACCTTCGCCCACCACTGACGTATTTTACATTTAGTCACGTTGGAATGTTAAACCCCATGTATTTTTGTTATTATGTCATAAACTGAAATAAGGTTGAGCATAATTGTGACATGGAGAGAAAATTACATATTTTTAAAGCTAATAAAGATATAAACGACACCCCTCTCCCCCTATCAGTATATATTTTGAGCCACTTTCAGCTCTAATCGCATCTGTAAGTCTTTTAAGGCCTCTTTCTACCTGTTTTGCACAACTTCAGACTGAAATCTGCCTCCTTAGTTAATCCTTAATTCAATTTGAATTAGACTCTAACTAGGCCCATTTAAAGCATGAACATATTGATCTGATTTTAACCCTTTCATTGTGTTTCGGGCTGTTTCTGTTTCCTTAGAAGGTGAACCCCAAACCCTCTGCAGCCTCTAACAGACCTTCTTCCATTACTTGTTTTCTTCTTTCAATTTTCTCATCAAATATAACCAGCTTTTCTGTCTCTGCTAAAGACAAGCATCCCTACATCATAATGCTGCCGTTTTACAAAAGTATTTCCATCTGTGGGTAATCCACAAAAAAACTGTGTAAGATGTTAAAAGAATAAGGAGTTATTTTACAATCTATGTCTCCAAAGCTTCATTTCTGACCTGTCTGCTGTGTTTCTTCGTCTCCACGATGCTGTTTGTTCACTAATGTCGTTCACAAATGTGTGAGGCTTTTAAGAGGAGCTGGATTTGTACACAAACTACTATTTCGGGGACCTTTAAGATAAACGGTGCGTTGATTTTTGTTTAAGGGATTTAAGGGACAAGAGTTTTGGGGTTTTTATTCACAAAAAAATATTTTTTTTTCTTTGGTTTGCAGTCATGTACTACCTTGTTTTGGCCTATGAGATAAAATCACTTTGTGAGACACTGTGGATGGTTTAACAATCACAAGCTCGAAGACAAAAGGACTCGTGTCCCTAATGACTTTAATTTTGTTGTCCAATCACTGCGCCTATCAGGTCATTGTTCTAACAGAGCACTGTCTGTACATCCAAAATATGGGCGCCAACATTACCTGCTAGACATACAACAATGGGTGGCAACCGTACCCCTGCTCATTTGGAACAGACGAGACAATTTGTCAAGAAAAAAATATTTTGTAAAGTTTATTTATGGAATTAAGAACTGTGCTGAAAACACAAAAAGGGATTTTTGTACGTCTATGACTTCCCCCATATGCTGTATCCATGACACTGTTCTCTCACGAATAAATTACCACGTGATTCCCATGGTTGTTGCTTTTATTTCTAAACAGACTAGATCAGGGGTTTTCAAAGTGGGTGCCGTGGCACCTAGGGGTACTGCGAGGTCACTACAAGGGTGCCGCAGGATTTTTTCATAGATTGATGAGATTTTATATTGAATGTACATTTTTACATTTTAACAATTTTGTAAATTAATTTTGATGTAAGCAAATATATTCTAAGATGAGGGGCTTCATTTTATGTTTTCTTTACTACTTTGAAAAAATGACAGAAAAATAATTATTATCAAATAATTTCAAATAATCATTATCAGTTTAGGGGTACCACGGCTGGGTGGAAAAATGTGTAGGGGTACCTTGAGCCAAAAAAGTTTGGGAACCACTGGACTAGATCACAGTGGTGGATCTGACTTCCTCACCTGGTTTGGATGATGAGGATACCTTGAAGCAAGCCCTTCGAGGAAACATTTGAGGACAATGTGACACAAGGGTCACAAAATCAAATCCTCAAAGGTCCGTGTCCAACAACTTTTAGATGTGTCAATGCTTCAATACACCTAACTCCGATAGCTCATCAGCTGAACTTGACTCTAGGGGGGGAGTTTAGCTATCTGATTAAGGTGTGTAGAGCAAAGGAAACAGTTACTGCAAAGTGGCCCTTGAGGATTGATGTTTGAGACCAGTGCTCTAAGTAGTGGTGCAGGCTTAATGTTCCTTCTTTTGCGTCACAAACCAGCAGAATATGACAAAGCAGATAGAATAAAACCTAACCCAGTCAAGTTAGTACCTGTCATTTAATCCATAGAACATCTGTCATTTATGCCGGTATGCAGTGTTTTATGCATTTTTAAGGGGGCCAGAATATACACACATTTAGCTCTGGTTACCATTGCAACATTGTCATGAATGGGTTCTGCACAGATTAGCAGATTGAAGTCACTTAAGTCAGAGCTCCGGCTTTATGATGGTAGCTCCTAGCCTCGTGAGACCATCCTGATCTCGCGAGCTATCAAGGTTTCACTCGCAGATCAGTCTGGCTACTTTCCGTTGAAGAAAATTTGGAGCCGTTCACCAAACGAACGTCCAATCAGCGTTGGCTTTGAGGCGGGTTGAGGTGTGACGCAACGAGAAGCGCGACACTTCAGTCTAAAGAACATGGCGGCTTCAGCCGATGAAACTAGCGTTAGCGTGGCCATCGAGCAAGTTTTATCGGAATTACAGAGTATTTCTTCACTGAAAGAAGAGCAAATCACTGCTCTGGAGGCTTTTCTCAGAGGAAAAGATGTTTTTGCTCTTCTCCTGACTGGTTTTGGCAAGAGTTTGATCTATTAATTGGCTCCTCTTCATCGTCGCTCTGTTACGTCATACGCTTCGTTGATCTGATTGGTTTATTTGGCCCGTCTATCACCAACATAGGCCAATCAGCTAAACAGTATTTTCGCTCCTTCCCAAAATTACTTCACGGAAGGTTTCCAGATGGATATGCGGAGCAAATCCATCTGGTGGAGTCAGGTTAGGTACAGTAGCTCCATGATAGAGCTAAAAAAGGCTCCTCTCTGTTTTATATAATCAGATTCAAACAAAAGAAGAAAAAATTGTCAAGATTTAGAGAACTTATGCCGACTTAACAAAGGATCTGAACGACTTAGTTAACCCTTTCTAGGGCTAGTTATTGCTTTTTGTCACTTGCATACCCTATCTATCCGAAGCAAAAAAGATTCAGCCATTCAGCAAAGATACTACTACGTGGCTGCACATGTCATTTTGGCATTTGACCAATTAGATGAGCCCTTGGATGATGTTACCTACAGTAAATTCAGTTGCAAAAAAATTTGTAAGTTAAGAAAAAAGGTAAAAAGCTAATTGAAAAGTTAAAAGGTTATGTCAAAAAGTTAATAAAGTACAAAAATGTAATTGCCTGTGTCAGCATTAATGTTCTAAAGTAATTTTTTTAGAAGGAAAAAAAAGGGGTTTCTTTTACTCTTAGTGTTTTTCAGGAATCTCTTATAGAATGACTTTTGTTTTTTCAATTTAACATATTAGGGCAAGTTACCTTTTATTGTTAATACCCTGACCTTTATTTTTTCTTTCAAAATATACGTATTTTTTAAATGTTACAAAGGTAATATTTTGGATTTTAAAAAGCATTTCATTGAGTGTCCTATGAAGGGTTAAATGATTAGTGGACTCCGGCCAGCAAACAATAGTGGCCCAGGAAGAGGTCAACCTTATGCTATCACCTTTAATAAAAATGAGTTCTTCATTTATATTTGCCATGTGTAAAAGAATCAATCCATGTAGGCAGTCTACCACCTAAACTTTATAAAACCAAGTTCATAGCTTTAACTTGTGCTCCGTTTCACTGATCTTCCATAACTGGTCTGGAATAAAGTTGAACCTCTTAAATAGGTAATGGCATTATTTACAATTTAGCAGATGTGTTGCGCTATTGTAGCATCCATTTGATCCTGTTGCCTTTGTTAACACAAACTTTAAATTATGATTGTTATCCTCCAACATTACATTCAATGATATGTTTCATTAAGTTTTCTCAAAGGGGAATATTATCTTGACTGAAAAGCATCTAATTAAGCTTTGTTTGCAACTTTGGTCACTTTTAAATCCTGGAATGGAATTTGAGTTTGGCTTATCTTGGCTCTGTGAAGCCATTTAATAAATAAATAGCAAGAAAAAAGTAATAATCTATATTAATTCAGTTCAGTGCATAAAACTTTACCTCATATCTAAGGTGTTGATTCAGCACTGTATGTGGAAATATACTATACAGGGTATCTATAAAATGTAAGACAAGGCTGAAATAGTGAAAATATACATGGCATCAATCTAGACCTGGCTGTTAGATTTTTATTAGAGATACAGTCTGGGGCTAGGATATGTTTCTTTGCCAGATGGGTTTTGAAAATAACATTCTGTGTCCAGGATGTGTGGGGTCTGCACGAAGGTAAGCTGCCCTTTCCCTGCTCCTAGCCCTATACAGATCACCAATAGAGTGAAGCTGAGCCCTGACGATCCTTCCTGCAGACATAATTAATTGTTGCAGTTTGGAGCTGTCGTGTTTTCTCTATGAGTCAAGTGCAATTATGGAAGAACAGAGGACAAACTGAATAAGGGCAGTGGACAAGATGACAAGCAACTTCCAAGAAAGGTTATGCTTTAGGTTGCCACAGGAAGATAGACCTTTTATACAGTGTCTATGTGTGAGGACCATCTCAGAAGGGTGGTTCCTAGGCGCTGGTCATCTTCAAGGTGTTGTTGAAGATGGTGAGTTGAAGCAATGAGCGTTGGGAGTTCTCTGAAAGTCCACTGCCTTCAGCTGTGCTTCTTCGTGTCACCAACAGATTTGTCACACTGTGAACTAACAAACCGCTTCAAACTGATAAGAATTGTGCCATCTGCTAAATTTAGGAGTTTCTCAAATGCGTCCATCGAAATGCAATATGAGACGGAGTAGATCAAAACCCACAGCACTAAGGGAACGGGGGGAAAGTGTTAGAATATAGTCAAACCTAAACATTCAGAAGTATAACTGCTGGGTTTTAAGGGAAGATGTTGGAATTGTTTTAATCAAAAGCCTCCAAAGTTTACATTTTTTTCAACCAAAGTTATTCAATTTTATTCTTTGCTTTAAACACATTGACATTTCAGATCATTTTGAACAAGATTTTGCAGAGTAAAATGGATAGCTTTATTGACAAAAAAAAAATGCTGTAAATTATCTAGCTTTCCAACGGCTCAATGTAAATAGTTTGCCACTTTCTTTAAGCTATAAAGATTTTATTTTAAACTAATTAGGCTGCTAAAATGACAACAGTACAGTACAGAGCAGGACATGTTTATATTTTTACTTTGGTGCCGTTCCACCTTTCTTAGAGAAAGTAAGCTGCAACAAATTCCTGTGATTGCGCCACTCAGTAGAACCCATAATGGGTAATTCTAAACAAAGTTTAAAGGTCACACCCCCTCAACTCAGCTCAAATGATGTTGCCAAGACTCTGGACCTCATTACAAAGCACTCATTTTTCACCACTGTCAGAACTCCACAAACACATTTCCTGTGTGTTTCAGAAAGCAGATATAACATGTCACACATAATGAAGTTTATGCAAATGAAAAAGATATCTCAGGCCCGTCCGTTGAACTTGCCAGTAAATCCAACAGTGTTTAATCACACTTTAGCAGTGTGTCAAACCTGTAAAAAACACACACACACAGACCTCGGTGCAGCTCGGATGGCCTACGGCATTGAGCATTCAGTTGAGTGTAATGGTGGCTGTGAGTTCATATCGAGGCCAGTATTGATCAGTCTGTGTTTACAGAGCGATCTGAACAGAGCTCTCCCCTCAGTGACAGTCGCTCATAACACACAATCATGTTTTCTGTGATGATACAGCCAAGCAGACTCAGTTCCCACTGCTTCCTGCTCCCTGTTGCTCTCAGCTTGGTCTTGCTAAGGTAGGATATGTACAATTCTGTCTCTACTTGTTGTTTATCTATAATTTCAACTGGCGGTATTTTTTTTTACTGATAAAAAAAAAGCTCAGATTGATTTCTTTACAAATGTTTCTTGGTTGTATGTTTAAGTCAGGACAAATAAATTCAGATAACATATTTGCCTTCAGACAGCACTCTGTTAGTTCTGTTTTCTTGTTTATTTACACGTCACAGTGAGTTTGCTAAAACCACAGCGAGCGATGAGAGCTCCAGCGTCCGTGAAACCCGTTCAGTGGGTATTCAGGCGGTAGTTCAACCAGTGGACTGTGTTCTATCAGACTGGAGCCGTTGGTCCCGCTGTGACACCTGCACAAAGAAGAAAGTAAGCTTAATGTATTTTCATTTATTTTTTTAGCAGACATTAAAAAGACACATCCCATTTTGCCTTCTTTTGGGATAACTTAGGGGTGTTGAAAGGTTGCACGTATAAAAAATTGTGACAGAATTTTCAGTCACCAATTTGCAACATATCACCTCCTTTTACAAAGACTAATCAGTCAGATCATACTATCAGACTCTATCTAACCTCTTACACCCTAAGGGGGTATAAATAAATTTCTGCCTGACAAAAACACACAAAAGTAAA